ATCTGCAACAGCACACCGCTGCCAGTTTTGTTTCATTAGTTGTAATCCTTAATAGCCTGCTATCATACAATTAAGTTAACAAATTGGGTTTAATTAATGTGTAATCAACATGTTGAGTGCACAGTATGATCTTACTGAAGACCGGGAGAACCTCGTGGGCAGTCAAAGAGACAATTACTTTTCAGGACTCGATAAAAGCAAATCAAATATAGAACTTGGTGAACGAATGCTTGCTCTGCTTGTCTTCTTCATAATGCCTGATGAAGATTAAGACATTGCTTTTGTATAAATGTTTTAAGGAATATTTTTGCAACCAATTTGAAATTGCCAGAAAGATAACTTCATGCCAAGTGGATGTGTAGAAAGAGAACAGTTTTGCAGCTTTTTACCTAGTAGTCACACCAGCATAGCATGTATTAAGCTTGCATTTCATTGAGTTGAAATGTACTATAACAAGTGCATCTTGTATAGTAACTCCTTAGAATTAAAAAAAAAATATATATATATATATATATAGCTTTTCAGTCACAAATGTGAAATCAAAAGGTTTAGCAGTCTTGTTCACACTGTGCCCACTCATATTTTATGTTCCAGTTAAAGAGCCGATTCGTCTTTCCTTCATTACAATATTTACTATCAGCTTTAATAAGTAAAATAGGAAGAATTATTGAGAGCATAACTGATGCACGCTAAGTTTCACTGCACCCTTCACTTCAATTTGGTCATTTTAATTACATTAGTTATCTTTAGTTATAGAGTGCTTTTCACAGTTGTCCATGCAACACCATCATAAGGAGCAGATTTTAATAAAGTGGGACATTCAGAACATATCTGCATGTTGCTGAGTTATGTCATTAGGTGGAAAATGCAACTGTTAGTCATGTTGAGCACAGTCTGTTAGTGTGACACTTTAAATTGTGAGATGTGGGGTGCCATCTCCTTTCCTTTAGGAGGATGGTCCAATATATTCTATGCTAAAGGAGGACTTCATTCAGTTCTTGCAACCCTTTAATTGTGTTAATCTCCTTTTTGCTAATTTTTCAGGTAGAGCAACTAGAATTCTAAAGTGGTGTGTATGAGCTGGGGTTACAAACAAGCCCTAAACCAGGTTAAACAACGCAAGCCATCCTTTTTACACAGGATTGAC